CTTTCTGAGGAGATGGGATGCTTCTTCACCTTTCTGCTCGGTGGGCTCAGGCAGACAACTCTGCGGGACGAGCGAGGACTTCAGAGGCTTCATACAAGGTTCCTTGTTTCTTGGGGGGGGCAGATATCTTCCTAACCTCTCCCATCACGGGGGGAGACCTGGATGCGCCACTTGGAATACGCAGTTTTGTCTGGCACTGCTCTCAAGCAGATAGCAGAAGGAATGCAGGCAGATGAGCCTCCATTTCACTGGGGGGATCAACTACAGTGCTCACTGAATGAGCCACACAAAAGCAGAGCAATTGGGGGGTTTAAATATGGCGCTCTGATGAAGAAGAGTTTTGAGCCAATCAGCACCTCAGTGCTAATCTACAGTATCAGGATGCCTTTACACACCAGACACTCGTTGTCATAAAGAGAGGAGGAGAAAGAGTCAGAAAGACTGAAGGACATGTTCTTCCAGCTCTCGTACAAAGATGAACTTTGAATTGATTTTATATCTTGGATGTTTACAGATGTACAATTAATGACTGTCTTTATATTTCCAATGACCAGACATGTGTTGAATAGTGGTGATTAATATATTTTTGCCGGATCAGATTACACTTTCGCACTAAACAAAATTAATTAATTAATATCTTCAGATTATAAAGTATTGAATCATAAGATATTTCTACTATTATCACAGATAATGTTAATATCCTTAATCGTCCAGCAATCAGGCTTAACAACACTACTCTTTAATGTATTATCCATGCACAGAAAGACCTACAATGATGTTTCAAGTACTGGATTAATTTCAGTTTTGGCCCAAAACAAATATGTTTGCTATTGTGCACCTGTGTTTTATGTGTGATCATTATTATGCTTTTGACAAAGGATGATCCAAACACTGATGAGAGATGATTTTTCTATTATGATTGGCTGTATCAATCATTGTGATTGAATGTTTCAATCTTAACACACACAATCTTGTGTAAGTCCACACTCAAATCTGAAGATTCCCATTGATTTAAGTATTGAACAAAATATTATTAGACTAAGGTTTTTAGATTATCAAAATTGATAAAAAGAGAGAAACTGTTGTGGAAATATTTTCCAAGGCCCATAACTTTGACCCAGTTTATCAGTTCAAACTGTCCTGACTGAGCACACGCACCTCGTAACCTTGGCTGCTGTGCTCTCAGTGTTCTGTCTCCCTGTTCCTGCCTGTTGGCGTCAGCTGATAGAGGTGTTATGATTCTATGTTCCTGCCTGTTGACGTCAGCTGATAGAGGTGTTGTGATTTTATCTTGTTATGCAGCGTGTTGATGATGCTCTCAGAACTAGTTAAATACATGGGTCTGAGGTAGAGTTCTTTAGAATTGACATGGCAACCCACCCGTGCAGTCTCACCGAGGCTGCTGTGATTTGTGATGTGAACTCTCCGGCCGTAACTCCAAATAAACCTCCAGTGTTTTGACATCAAAGCTCCTGCTCCTACCGTGTCTCCTTCCTGAGTCGGTGACTCCCACTGCATTGCTACACAGAAGTTTCCCTTACAATTTAGGCTATATATACAGATGTTTGCTAATGTATCCCTCTTATATCCATCAGGAATTAATATTAAATGATGAATTAACAATTAACGTTCCTACCCTCACCTATGGTCATGAAGGATGGGTCATGACCGAAAGAACGAGATCGCGGATACAAGCGGCCGAGATGGGTTTTCTCCGCAGGGTGGCTGGTGTCTCCCTTAGGGATAAGGTGAGAAGTTCGGTCATCAGGGAGGGACTCGGAGTTGAGCCGCTCCTCCTTCGCGTCGAAAGGAGCCAGTTGAGGTGGTTCGGGCACCTAGTTAGGATGCCACCTGGGCGCCTCCCTAGGGAGGTATTCCAGGCACGTCCAGCTGGGAAGAGACCAAGGGGTAGACCTAGGACCAGGTGGAGGGATTATATCTCTTCGCTGGCCTGGGAGCGCCTTGGGATCCCCCAGTCAGAGCTGGTTGATGTCGCCAGGGAAAAGAAAGTTTGGGGCTCTCTGCTGGAACTGCTACCCCCGCGACCCGACCACGGATAAGCGGGAGAAGATGGATGGATGGATGGATGGAATTAACATTACCTCAGCACTGTGTGTGGTCGTCAGTCATATTCTTTCACACACACATACGGGTATTGGGCCGAGGGCGACACCGTACTTCCGGTATCCGCCGTTTTACGCGAGGTGCAAGCAGGCCAAGGGTTTAGCCCGTTTAGCCGTACACCGTCTAGGTGTTGCTAAGCTTCCTGTACTGAATATCATAGTCTATTGCCTTAATCAATATCTAGTCAAGTCAACTCTAAAATACCACATATATGCAATGGCATGATAATATTATTGTGACAAGTGGGGTATTCACCTGGTGTTTCCAGAAATTAGACGTAGATGCAGCCAAAATCGACGCAGTCTGTAAGGCAATCCGACAACCCACACAGCTCTAGTTTACGCTGGTAACGACCTAGAGCACACCCCTCAAGTCCAGAGATGTAATCCGAAGACATGCAGCGATTTCTTCGGTCGTTAATTCAGAAAAAAAACCTAGTGTGCTCTGCCTTGCTACGTTAGCTAGCTGTTTATATTTGCACTTCCAGGATATTTGCACCTCCATGAAAATGGCGTATTTATATATATATATGGCGCGTGTTGCATTGTGGGTAGCTCGTGACGTCACTGTGTGTGAAATAATTGACAAAGAAGCACTATTATATTGTATATTATGCGGCGTTTAAAAGGACGGTATTTCGCTTGTCAGATTCAGATTTTGCGGGTGTGCCGCGTGAGGCAGTGATGTAACCATAGGGATGTAACGCCAGGTTGATGCTGTGACGTAACGCCGCGTCGATGCTTGCGTAATGCGGAAGTGGGATCTAAACTGGGTTGGAAAAACGATAGACGTGCCCCGGAGCCATGGATGTATAATAAGCCCGGAGCAGGTTAGGTTGCAGGCTAAGAGATCAACTCAGTGAAAGCACCGCCTGCTGACCAATCAGAGCTCAGTGTGTAGAGTTTAAAGCAATCAAGTCATATTACAGGAGAAAGGAAATACAGAAAAACTGCCGTTGCAGGAAAGACGGCCGGCAAAAATCACCGGCTGTGTGAACGTGAACATTAATAGAATATCACCTCCCATCTTCAGAGCAATCTGACTATTATAACATTAGCGTTAAGAAAGCTTACTTAAATATCTGTCACAACATAAGTAACCGGATCAGAGTAACATTAAGTACAGTCATATCACTTCATAATGTATCATATATTTCCTTATCTGAGTCAGCTGAGCCGTATCTGGCCGTGCAACACTCACAGTGTCACATACTGTATGCAGAAGTATTATTTTAAGCAACACATTAAGTTGACGAAACACTTGAGTCAAATGTAATTAAAGTCAGATCGTGTTTTAGACGGGGCAGTGATATCATAAACCTGTTAATGTACACATTCAAACACTTTTTCTTTTACCAGCTGTATTCACCTTGCAGGTGCAGCTATGTGGCTTTGATCCTGGATCAAGTGTTTAAGTCATGGATGTTTAAAGTTTAACTTCTTCATATGTCTAATATTATAGTTGACTTTTAATTCAGGAAGTATGATGATGATGGGAGATGCTGTATGAGAAACCAATGTGATTTTGGAAAATTGCACAATATAAATCTATTTTAATATACCTCAACAATGGAATTGTGATCAGTAGAAATGGCCATGACATGCACCTTTAACCTCTTTTATAATATCCTCTCCTATCATTTCTACTAAGCATTCTAAAATGTCATTTTGAGTGCCTTTGCTGGTGTACTTTGCATTCTTTTAACTAAGGGATCGTGTTTACTTCATTCAACATCTAAAATCTCCAGGAAATGTCCCTTAATTTTGGAAGTGTTTGACTCGCATGGCCACGTTGGGAAATGTTTTAGGTAGCTGTCAAAAGTAAAATCTCAGACAAAGTGTTAAATGTACCTTTTATTTTCAGTTACTTATTTTTTATCTTCATCTCCTATACTCCAAGAATGGTTGCATTTCTCCCGGCCATGCTTTTGTATTTTGTCCATGCAATTATGGCATTTCCATGAGTGTCTGATCTGACATGTAAACATGTGTCATACTTTGAAGTTTAAAGTAAGACACATGTTGACTAGTTTTCTTTTTATTTATTCAAATTTGCCATGGATTATAACCGAACAACTGCCAAGAAGCTGTAAAGTAACAGTGCCTCTAGTGGTCTGCTGTTATTTGAATGGATTTTACTATTCAAATACCAACACCACATAGTAAACCTATGGCCAGATAATATATTATTCTAGTATTAGAGGTTAGTCTGTCATGAAATCATAAGATGCTATATCCGAATTATTATCTTATCACTGATCACTTACATATATTTAATTTCCCTCTATACGGTAAAAACTGGTGCAGAATGTGCTTTGGGATATCTGTGTAACTGAGTCAGAATAATGCTGATAGCTCCCCTACAATCTGTGCGACCCGCCCAAACATTGAAGCATGGGCGCGTTCACGTACTGTCACTGTAACTATCACTTTTGCTGCGTTCAAAAATATTGAGAACAATTTCATTTCATTTTTTTGGCAGATGAACAACGCTTGTATAATTACAGGCTAAGCTTGTAAACATGCATGAGACATACAAGTAGATGCTGATTTGTACCTACATCGTTTTTGTAAATTTGTGATTTGCTATGTAGGCCTATACGTATTACTTGTAGACCCTCATGCAGAAACCCTATCAAAATGTCAAGAAGAGGTAGGATACAAGTATGTGTTCGTGCCTTTTGTTTTAAAATATTGCCCATTTTCCACCCAACGTTTTCCCCAAGATTAACATTACTTATGAAACTTGAAATGAGTTTAGCTGCAGTACAGTATTAACGCATTGGATTTCGATGGGTTCACTGGTGAAAGTTTGGTGTGAGAGTTACGTTAAAGTGGATTCCCACGTCCCTTGAACGCAGCAGTCGACTGGCTCGCGCAGCCCTCCCTGAGCCCTCCTCGCTGTCGGTATCGATGAAGTTGTCTCAAAGATGGCGGACTTCCTGCCGTCCCGCTCCCTTTTATCTGTATGTTTTCCCAACTGTGTCCTCACAAGCGGGGAGGCAGAACAATTGCGGAAGTCTAAAGAGATAGATAAGTGTATTCATCGAGATAAGACTTATGTAAAAAGGTTAGTCAAGATTTTATTACTTGGGGCAGGCGAGAGCGGCAAGTCTACTTTCCTGAAGCAGATGCGCATTATCCACGGGCAGGACTTCGATCAGAAGGCCAAAGAAGAGTTCAGAGCCACGGTGTTTAGTAATGTTATAAAAGGTAAGGCTGCAATGGGCACCCATTATATTTGATATGTTGACGCTAGCTCGTTTTGACCTCTGCATGGCCTAATGTAGGGTGTAAAGAGTGGGAAGCTGGTAGCCATGTAGCCTCAGTGAGCGATGGAGGGCTCTCTGTTCCACAGTGCTAGCGTGGTTAGCTGCTCCAGAGACCAAGAAACGCCCATGTTATTCTGTTGCTGTGACTGGGGAAGGGATGCGTTCAGGTGGTCATTGTTAGTGTTTATTTAGAGCTCCCATAAATTAATATTGTCTGTTTCATAGTGTTAAGTCTCACACAATGGTTTGACATTATCCTTGTGTTTTCCACATGGCTGCTGTTTCAACCGAAACACATATTTGTCGTGTTTGAAGAACCTGACACTAAATCACGAGGAGAATGTTTCTGTTTACTGTAAACCTGCCTTTCGTTATCTGTGGGTAGCCCTGTCATTCCTGAACCAAGAAACATTATCTGCAAGTTTACTCATTAATGCATGCAACATCACCTTTTATCATTCTGAAATGTACGTTATGAACCATGCATTATCTTAAGTTACAATATTTCTCAATATGTGTTGTGTAAGCACTTTTTTATGAAGTCTGGTTTCAGTTTATATCGACCTCTTCTGGTTGAGTTTATGAAAAGTGGAAACTTTGTGACTATGGTGTTACAGGTGCAGATTGACAGGTGGGTCCAAAAGTTCCAGAAACACTAGACATGTAGCCTTACTCTCCATCAACACTTTGCAGTGTGCTGTGTTGTCTGCTTACAGACTTCATGATGAGCCAATGAAGGTGTCCTTTAATTCCTGTGAGTATTTACCCACAACAATTCACACATGTTGCATCATGGGACTGTTGACTTTTGGTATTAGCCCGAATAACAGTGGAGGGAAATCACAGACAGTCACTAGAGCTGCTGCTAAATTAAGTCGGAGCAACAAAACATTTCCAATTACACCCACCTGCCTAAAGTTGTGTGTCTCAGTTTAGATCAGTTGTGATGTTTGACATGTGAATTATTCTGCTATGGAATCTGTTGATTGTGTACCTCAGCCTATACATTACTGCTCTGTGAACTGCAACATTTTTTAAAGTTTCTTTACATATTTACCAGTTTCTTATCATAATCCACATGAACCATTCATCACATTGGCATAACACTTGTGTGCCACTCAATTCATAACCTGTTTGTAACCAGAACGGACACCGCTTCATCTTCACCTGCTGTACTCTGTGTCTGCAGGTTTGCCCGGCACTAAAACACGAGAGCAGAGAATATTAATGATGATGTAACATTTGAGTGGCAATGCTCATGATTCTCTGCAGTTCTGTGCGCTGCAGAACAAAGGGCTAACCTTTACAAAACATACTAGACTAGTTTTTCCTATAACATCAACGTCAGGGCCAACTTTCCAATCTGACATTAATGGCGCATTTCCACTACAGCGCGGAGCTCGCTTTAAGCATGCCGAGCCGTGCCCGGCCCGTTTTTGGTTGCGTTTCCACTTGGCGTAGTTCCGACTAGCAGGTACTATTTCACAGTTTTTCTGGCCCCATAAAATCGAGGTTCTTTCCGGGCCAACAACCAGGCTGAGTCGGGCTGAGTATGCTAAACTAGAGAGAGAATCGCTGACAAGGGGGCTACAACCAGTGACGGTTCTATACCAATTTAACTGAGGGGGCCACTGGGGGGCCAGTTATTTTCTGAGGGGGGCACAATAAATGCAGGACGAAAAAGAGAACTAGACAGTATGAAGTAATTGCGCATAAGAAAACAATGCAATACAGTTATTGGTATTTGTTTCAGTACACATATTTATTTCAGATAGATCTTATAGTTATTACTGTTAGCTTCAGCTTAAGTTATAGTGCAATGTTTGCACTAACACATTTAACATTTAACATTTAAAAAAACAACTTTTCATTGTTAGGGGGGCCACAGGGGGGTCAGAGGTCAGTGTTAGGGGGGCACTGCCCCCCCCCCTAGAACCGCCCCTGGCTACAACTACAACACGATGAACATATTTGACCGTGATTTAATTGTAATACACGTTTCAAAATGATGCTGAAGTAACAATACACTGATACCGGTTAGTAAAAACCATGAATTAATGCTTTGACAAGTCTGCAGACAGACGGCAGGCGAAACACCTTTTTAAAATGCTTGTTTTCTGAATGGAGATCGGCTAAGCTAACGCAGTATATGCTCCAACCGTCCACACTCACAACAACGGCCTATATCGGGGGTATTCAACTAAAATTCAACGAGGTCCAGTTAGAGAAAATGTCCCCATGCAAAGGTCCGGAACATCAAAATGTCTAACTTGCTTTATGAATTAGTGTGATATATATTGAAGTAGCCTGTAGCTTTATCAACGTCTGCATGTAATCAACAACTGACTGCCAATCAAATAAAGAAAGTACAATTCATAAATAACAATATTTATTGTCAATTAACATTGAACTACAGATATACAGTAAATACTGTGGATATGTGTAATGTTCCTCTCTGGCTGCATTTCAAAATAAAATAGGTTTTGAAAATGTGTGCATCTTAAAAGTGCTTAATTTTAGATAAATAAAATAAAGTGTAGCAGCAGCTTGAGCAGGGCTCAACGCTAACTTCTAAAAGTGGTTGCCAGGCTGGCAACCAGGCATCAGCTTTTGGTTGCCAAAACTGAAAATATGGTTGCCACTTTTAGTCACCTTATATTTTAAATAATTAAGATACTATACAGTTATACATCAACTTAATAATGAACATGTGACACAAAAGAATGTTCAAATGCTTTACAATAAGTAATTAACACAATTATTTGAAACTTAAGTGCATGGTAGTAAACTTGTCCACCCTCAATTGCTGGTAAACAAAACACCAGTAGTGCAGCTGTTGTCATGTTCTTCACAGATCACTAATTTATTGGCCATCCGTTGTCTCCCTTTCAAATGTGGGTTTTCTTGATCTTTGTGCTGACCCCCACCATAGATCCATTGGCTCTTCAGCATTGAAGTCTTGGATTGGCCAGACTAATACATTTCTAATGTTAAATAAATGAAAACCATTCACAGTTAAGAATTAGATATTAATTATTAATTCTGTAAATTACCTTTTAATATATCTAACTATATTTAACATGTGTTACCTTTTTATTAGGGCTGTCAGTCGATAGTGTCCATAGTTAATCGCGATTAATCGCATGATTGTCCATAGTTAATCGCGATTAATCGCAAATTAATCGCACATTTTTTATCTGTTCTAAATGTACCTTAGAGGAATATTTTTCAAGTTTTTAATACTCATATCAACATATGAGTGGACAAATGTGCTTTATGCTAATGTTTATTATCATTTGAACAATGACAAATATTCTCATGAATATTAAACACAACAACCTGGAACCTCTCTCATACAATACAAATTGTGTGTGTGTGTGTGTGTGTGTGTGTGTGTGTGTGTGTTGTGGTGTGTGTGTGTGTGTGTGTGTGTGTGTGTGTGTGTGTGTGTGTGTGTGTGTGTGTGTGTGTGTGTGTGTGTGTGTGTGTGTGTGTGTGTGTGTGTGTGTGTGGTGTGTGTGTGTGTGTGTGTGTGTGTGTGTGTGTGTGTGTGTGTGTGTGTGGTGTGTGTGTGTGTGTGTGTGTGGTGTGTGTGTGTGTGTGTGTGTGTGTGTGTGTGTGTGTGTGTGTGTGTGTGTGTGTGTGTGTGTGTGTGTGTGTGTGTGTGTGTGTGTGTGTGTGTGTGTGTGTGTGTGTGTGTGTGTGTGTGATGGATCGTTGGAGCTATGTGCAACTCAAGGCATATGCTCGAACGGGAGCTGCCTGGACGCTGCAATCATGTTGCACTATCCGTGCTGAGTGTGCTGACTTTTCGTACAATGTCCCACTGTCTGGCTTCCTGCATAAAGTCAAGTGCTCGGCGCAGTTGTGGCGAAATGTCGCTCCTCTGTTTTCATTTAAAAAGCTCCATATCCGTTAGCGCAGCTAGCTAGCACCAGATGCTAACAGCAACAATGCACGTAAGGTCTCTCTCTCGCTCGCTCGGGCCACACATACACACCCTCCAGGTCCTCCCAACAGCCAGTCGGTGCCTGCCGGTGAGCGTGGAAGTGTGGTCTGCCACAAGCGGGCGGCAGGAGCGGGCTGTCAGCATCAGCTTGTAGATGGTATTTTAAACTCGATGCGCTCTGAAACTACGGGGCGGCCGAGGACAAAAATACACATGCGTTAAAATAATTAGTGGCGTTAATTTTTTAATGCGTTAAAGTGAATGCACAACAGAGCAGAATGTACATATATATTTCGCCTCCCAAGACTTTACACATTTCCTCTTTGCTTTTCGTTCGTTTCGCCATTTTTTGTAAAACAAACACACGGCGCACCGCGCACGCGAGTAAACGTGCATCGCTTTCTGGCTCCGTAATCCCACCAATGCACGTTCAACTTAAGTATCAGGTTCCGACTGGTCACAACAATAATTAACATTTATCTATTTTGGGGTGCACATTTTGCTGTTTGCTGTCCTTATTTCTTTATGTTAAAAACGGGTTGCCACTGAAGGCAACCAAAGGCCAAGAAGTGGTTGACATTTGTTCTGAACGGTTGCCAATGGCAACCTGGCAACCGTTACTGTCGAGCCCTGAGCTTGAGTTTCTCTTTTTCTTTGTTAACCGTTTCACATCATGACTTAACCATTGCAGACGATTATAGAACAATATCAGTCTTTACACAGCATAACTAGGGATGCTCCGATCGCCAATTTTGGGGCCGGAATCAGTATCGGCCGATACCGATCGCCGATCCGATCGAGTGGGCGGGGCCTAAATTGAAGATTTAAACATCACTTTAAATCTTCCATTTAAAGTGATGTTTAAAAGTTAATGGGGCTCATTCACTGGAGCTTCCACAAACAACAATCAACTTAAATATTACATTCAAATGATGTACATTATTCAAGTTTACATTCACTTTGGATAATAACACGGGAGAAATGAGCGGAAG